CTGTCCCTGTGTCACCCAGCCAGTTCTGAGGTCATCCCATCCCTGTGCCACCCACCTGGGGATGGAGCCACCCTGTCCCTGTGTCACCCACCCAGTTCTGTGTCCCTCTGCCACCCACCTGGGGCCTTGGCCGCCTCTTTCCTCTGGAGTGGCCTCCCAAAAAAGTCCAGTTCAGGCTGTGGGGAGCAAGCAGCAGCAATGGGGGTGGCTCTGGGGCACCTGCACTTGCAGCTGCTGCTCAGGGAGGGACAGAACCAGGGCAGGGCTGACCCTGGGCACGGCTCAGGCACCCCAAGAGCAGAGCAGGAGCCAAATGCAAATCCTGCAGGAAGGGCCAGAGGCCTGGGAATGCAAACAGCATCCAAATTTGGGGGAAAGGCAAAAGGTGAGGCTCAGGTGGGGTTTTACAGGCAGGAGAGGGCTGGCAGGCGAGCCCTGGAGAGGGGCAGTGCCAGGGAAGGATCCCAGCTCCTCTTGGAGCCCAGGGTGGGATCGTTCCAGAGCAGCTTTTCCAAGCTGCTTTCCCACACAGCCCAAATCCAGCTATTTCAGCCCAAAATCCCCACAGCCCCTCCCTCCCCCAGCCCTGAAAACTTCCCAGGACACACCCAAAATGTCACCCAGCCCAATTCGTGCCAATCCCAGCGAGGCCTTTACAGGACACACGGAGCTGGGCTGGGCTATTAAAGGAAATGGACTAAAAATCCCAATTGCAGGGGAGCCAGGGAGGGCCTGGCAGCCCAGGAAGGGCTGGGGGGAGGTGGGGCAGGAACTGGGGCAGGAACTGGGGCAGGAACGGGGGCCTGACCTTGTCCTGCAGGGCCGCTCTCCTCACGATGTGCTCCAGGCGCTGCTGGTGGTTGGGGGTCCCCGCTGGCTCCGCGTCCCCCAGCTCCTCCCCGGGGCCATTCCCGGGCTCCTGTGGGGAGCACAGAGCTGGGCCAGGCTCCCCTCGGGCTGTCTGAGCTCCAGGACTGGGCACCGAGCTCCTGTCACCCCCCCTGGCCCCATCCCACCCAGGTTGGATTCCAACATCCCAAAGATTTTCCCATCATTTTCTGCCTCCTGGGATCAGCCCCAGCCCCTTTCCCTGGGATTTCACATCCCCACCATGTAAACAAGGAGCCTTCAGAGATGTTTTTGCAGCTTCTCTTTGTCCCACACACCTCCCAGGAGCCTTTCTGCTGCTCCAAGGGGCTCCCAGGGATTAATTATCCCTCTGGCACCAGGGCAGGCATCAGCTACACCCAGGGATGTTTCTCCACTTTTTCCACCCTTTCCCATCTTTTCCTGCCTCCAGGAGAGTGGGCAGAGCCACTCTGCTGCTCCTGGGGGCTTTGGGAGCTTTGGAAGTGGCAGCAGCCAGGGAAGGGGAGGCAGGGAAGAGTTCAGGTACAGGCCAGGTACAAACAGCAGCCAAAAATTCCCACCTAAAATCCCCACCTAAAAATTCCCACTGAAAATTCCCGCCTAAAATCCCCACCTAAAAATTCCCACTGAAAATTCCCACCTAAAAATTCCCACCTCCTCACACCCCACACTGGAAGGGCTCAAAGCTTCAATTCCCTCCAGAATCCCTGCCCAAAGCTGAGCCCTGCAGGCCAGCCCAGCTGTGCAGGGGAACAGCTGCAGCCAGGGGGGTTAATCCTGGATTTCCAACCCGCAGCTTGGGGAAAAAACACATCCCTGGGCATCTCCTGCACATCCCCAGCCCTGGCAGCCCCCTGGGGATGCCCACCTGGGCCAGGCTCCGTGCCTCTGTCCTCCTCATCTTCTCCAGCTCGATCTCCCTGGCAATGAGCTGCTTGGCCTGGTAGCTGAGCTGCCTGCGGGCCGGCAGGGCTGGGAAACGGCACACGGCCTCCACATTCCTGCAGCAGGGAAAACAGGGAACAAACCCCAAAAATCAGCCAGCTCTGGGCAGCCTGAGAGCCCCAGCGCCTCCCAGCCCTGCCCCCGGGGCATTCCAGTGGCAACAAACCCCAAAAATCAGCCTGTGATTTCACCCTGTGCTCACTCTG